CCGGGCTGTATCGTTCCACGAATCGGAGAGCAGCGCCCCCGCGCGGCCCCAAGAGGTGCGGCAGGCGGGGGTCGACAGCTGGCTGTCTACTCTGGTTCTGGTCCCTCCTGGCTCCAGGCGCCTCATCCCCGGACCCTGCACCCTCACTCCTCATCCGGCCTCAGCTTCACCCGTCCAGCCCTCTGCTCCCTTTCCGCGCTTCAGTCCGAACGCTGCGTCCCGTCCTATCTCACGGTGAAAGCGCGCTCTGCTCGTAGCGGGTGCGCCCCCGCCGCCCTGGGGGAGTGGGGTCCCATCTACTAACTGCAAGGACGGCGACTTTACCTCGAAAGGACGATCTTGCTGATCCGAAACTTGGAAGCCCCCGCGGGGCCCGGCTGTCGGTGTGTCTAGGCCTCACCACCTCTCTTCACCGAGTGCCAGTGGTGGCCAGTGGGGAGCAAGTGTGGGGAGAAGGGGGCCATTAAAAACAGAAACCAGGCAGTGCTATTCCCTGTCTAAAGCCCTCGCATCTTTGCTCCTCACACCTGCTCCTCCTCTCTCATCAGCCATGGCTGCTTTTCTCTATATTGGGCCTTTGCATATTCGGTTCCCTCTACCTGGGACACTCTTCCCTTCCCTCTCCTATAGTCCGTCAAGCTCCCACCCCTATCAATCGCTATCATCGTGCTGTGTTTTATTGTCTTTATAGGACTTAAGATTTGCAATGCCCCTTTCTGAGAGCATACAGGAGGGCTGAAAGAGGAGTGGGATACCACGGTGGCCTTAAGAGCCTATTTGATCCACCCAGTTTTCCTGTTAGCCCAGATCTCCAGGTATTTGAAATCCTTGCAATAAGAGTGCCTGTAAGACCCAGGGAAGAGGCCCTCAGGGTCCTGGAGAGATGGTGGCTGAGAATGGTCCAGCTACACTCCACAGGAAGCCGGAGCCCAGGAAGCAGGGGGCGAGTACAGGCCAGTGTGTGCAAGTTTTCTATTTTTATTTGTATTTATTTTTTGAGACAGGGTCTTGCTCTGTTGTCCAGGCTGGAGTGCAGTGGGATGATCAAGCTCACTGCCGCCTTGATCTTCCGGCTCAAGCCTCTTGTCTCTGGGACTACAGGCATGCACCACCACACTCAGCTAATTTTTTTTTTTTCCAGTAGAGACAAGGTCTTGCTATGTTGCTGTGGCTAGTCTCAAATTCCCGGACTGAAGCAGTCCTCCCACCTTGGCCTTCGTGTTGGGATTACGGGCATTATCCCGTAATCTGTCTGACCCAGTTGCCTATTTTTAGACCTAAAGTGCATAGGCCTAGTGCGAGGTTCAGGTGAGGGGTAGGTAGAACTGCTGCAAACTGACATCCACACCCTGCCTCCTCTGCACCAGGTCTGGCTCTGCAGTTCAAGACCTCTCTTGGTTCCTCCTCCCAGAAGCCCTCCTGGGGCAGAGTAGAATCTCAGGGTCTGTGCTGTCTGGGACTGCTTGAAGAATGAGACTGGTGAAATTGCAATGGGGACTAGGGCTGGGCAGGAGTGGTGACAAGTGGTGAGGCCAAGAGTACCACCCTACCTACCCAAATACGCCTTTTTATCGTACCCTCCATCACCTGGGCCCCTTTATAACACAGTCCATGGCTGCCAATGGACCAGACCCCAGAGGCTAGAGACCCTAGTATTGGCTCCAGGACATCTATCACAATAGCCAGCCAATTAGCTGCTGCCAGTGGCATAGGAAGGATTAAAAGCTGGACCCAAGGTTTGGAGCACCTGCTATCTAACTGGCTTAAGCTGCATAGGGCCCAGAAGACCTGTGTCAAGTGTCATGTGGTTTTTGGATAGAGGTGCTGAGACACTCAGCCAGCACAGACCCCAGAAGGTACGTAACTCAGGGATCCTTTCTGGGTAACCTGCAGGGGCTGGGTTGGAGACTGTACACCATGCCAAGAGGCTGTGCTGACTTTAGGATTCATGGGGCAGCCAGAATACTTACTGAGCCAGGGAGGTGGTCACAGCATGTGGTGAGGCTTGGGAGGGGGATTGCCTACCCTTGGAAAGAATGACAGTAGCACGGTATACAATAAACAAAAAGATTTGTATTAGAACATAGACACTCAGGGAAGAAAGAGGTATCATCATCAAATGTGGAATGTTGAAGAAATAGTTAAAATAAATAAAGACTCCAAGCGCAGCTAGGGCTGGCTCAGGCTGGGGCTCACAGAGGCCACTGCACATCAGCTCCAGGCTGCAGGAGCCACCACCTGGCCATACCGGCCTCCTCCCTGACACAGCGCAGCTGTGCCTGGGACACAGAGTCTCTTTCAAGTACTGGAGCAGCTAGCAAGCTCACTCCCCACTCTCCTCACTTATCTCTGTAACAATGTCTATCAGGCTCTGGAGCCCGAAGATATAGCCAGCATCCTGGCCCTCATGTACCACAGTGTCCTCGCCATACAGCCTGCAGGTGGTGTGTGCAAAGTCAATCATGCGCACATCTACAGAGCTGGTGCCAATGGGTTTGTAGGCATAGGCACCAGCAGACTCATCAGCTGATTCCTCTGACAGGTCCTCCAAATCCTCAGCATCTGAGTCCAGGACCACTTCGGGCCGCTCCTTGCCATCATAGATGACCAGCAGAGAGCTTGAGTAGAAGCGGTAGGACTCCTGTCGCTCCAACACTGCCTTGAGCTCAGTCAGCTTCTTGAGCACAGGGCCCAGGAGTTCACGGCGCAGGTACCGCCCATTGTGGAAGAACTGGAAAAGTGCCTCCTTGAAGCCCTGCACCGACAGCTTCCGTCCATGGTACTTGTTCATGAACATGAGCTGCCCACTGCCTGCCTGGTACACCTGTAGGAGAGAGACCAGCAAGTCAGGGGCTGAGGGCCATCTCAAACCCTGGACTCTGGGTGGGGCCGGGGGTGGGAGGGAAGGGTGGTGTGGTGGCGGCGGCATGTGAAAGCCCAAATCAGATAAAGTACACGAGTCGCACATGAGCCACTATCCACTATACTCTCTCATCAGCCCACACCTGGGATGCAGTCATCCAACCTGAGTTTGGTCATTGTGCCCCAGCACCCCAACTCAACATCTGGGTCACTGGAGATGACCTAACCCTCTTGCCTTCCTCTCTACTACTATCCACAGATTCTGGACTCAGCTAACCAGACCAATCTGAGAGAGAATCATGCAGGCATGCATGCTTTCTCTTTCAACCAAAAAGCAACAGACTCGTGTGGGGTCAAATCTGGAATCTTTTTATTTTGAGACAGAGTCTCGCTGTCGCCCAGGCTTGAGTGCAATGGTGTGATTTCAGCTCACTGCAACCTCTGCCTCCTGGGTTCAAGCTGTTTTCATGCCTCAGTCTCCCAAGTAGCTGGCATTACAGCTGTGCACCACCACACCCACCCAATTTTTGTATTTTTAGTAGAGATAGGGTTTCGCCATGTTGCCTGGGCTGGTCTCAAACTCCTGACCTCAGGTGATCCACCCACCTTGACCTCCCAAAGTGCTGGGATTACAGGTGTGAGCCACTGCACCTGGCCTGGAATCTTTTGAGCAAACAGGACTATGCCAGGGTGAGGAAGTGACAGCCACTGGATGCCCTAGCCAGCCCTAGCATCCCCCTCACCTGCATGCCACACACACGCACACCAATGACTGCAGATGTGCTCTGCTGACATTTTCGGATCTGGTTGGCTGCCTTCTCCTCTGAAGCATCATCACCGTGTTGTCGTGTGCCCATCTTGAGGTCAAGGACACAAGGCACCTCATAGCGGGAAGTCAGGTTTTCCAGTAAGATAAATTCTGAGTAGTTAAGAATAATACCCTCAAAAGGAAGTGCTACTGCATGGGTCCTTGATACTCTCAAGGTACAGTGCCTAGATGCAGTGACCCAGAGAAGCCTGAACCCACAGGATAGTCCATTAGTCCTGCCATCACCCACACAGCGAGTCCAGAGCTGACTAGAAAGCTGAGAGACACCTTTACTTCTTGTCAGGGAACTGGCATGAAAGCAGCCTGCACCTGGACTCAACAGAGGCCTGGGCTCTTCCAGCCTGGGAGATACACACACCATTTCCTGAACTCTTAGCTAAGTGTAGGACTAGGGTCCAAAAACAAAGTCCTCAATTACAAGTAGAACATCAAGAAACTTCAGTAAATCCTGTAGCCTTAAATGTGAACTGGAAATATAAGTACAAACTCATGAAAATAGTTTTCTCTTTAAACGTCTGCTTCCCAGCTGTGTGCACTAAAAAAGGTCTAGAAACAATGACCAGAAATAATGGAGTGTCTCTAGTGCACAGACCATTGTCTCATCATTTCCCATTCAAGGAATCAGTACTCCCTAGAGCAGAAACTGGTTAACTATGGCCCAGTGCTTGCTGTTTATGGCCTATAAGCTAGAAGTGGTGTTTACATTTTTTAAGAGACCAAAAAATAGATAAACGCTAGGCATGGTGGCTTATGCCTGTTATCCCAACATTTTGGGAGGCTCAGGCAGGGGGATCACTTGAGTCCAGGAGTTTGAGACCAGCCTGGGCAATATAGTGAGACCTCATCTCTACAAAGGGGAGGAGAGGGGCGGGGAGGAAGAGGGCTGGGAGTGGTGCTTCATGCCTATTATCCCAGCACTTTGGGAGGCCAAAGCAGGTGGATCACCTGAGGTCAGGAGTTGAGACCAGCCTGGCCAACATGGCGAAACCCCGTCTCTACTAAAAATAGAAAAATGAGCCAGGCGTGGCAGCAGATGCCTGTAATCCCAACTACTCGGGAGGCTGAGGCATGAGAATCGCTTGAACCTGGAAGACGGAGGTTGCAGTGAGCTGAGATCACACCACTGCACTCCAGCCTGGGGGACAGAGCAAGACTCTTGTCTCAAAAAAAAAAAAAAAGAAGAGAGAGAGAAAGAGAGGGAGAAAAGAAAAAAGAAAGCAAAGACAAGGAAAAAGAAAGAGAAAAGAAAAGAAAAAGAAAGATTTCCTCATGCACAGCTTGTGTCCCAGTGGCAGTCTGGTGAACCAGGACTGAGAGGTCAGTCTCCTCACCCAAACACCCCAGCTCTTGGCAGGTGAACAATGTTTTGAGACTTCTGAAGAGTCTGAAAACAGGGGGCAGCCCCTTGCCCTCTTCCTCTAGGTTACCTAAGCTAAAGCCCACCTGATGCAAGCTGGCCCCTTCATGAGGCATCCCTCTCCCCACAGAGACCCATTATTATACCCCACTCCTCATCATCTGCACTCCTAGGCCAGTGGCTGCCCTGAGGGAAGTGATTATTTGCCCATAATTATCATACAGGGTGTCCTGGAATAACCCAGGTAGGAGAAACTCAGCCATGACTATAAAAACCCAACCGCTCTCTCCAAGCTCCAAGGGACTTCCTCATTTCCTCTCCTCTTACCCTCAAATGCAGAGATGCCCATGAACAAAGGATACTGTACTGGTTCCGATGCTTTGCATTCTCCTTCATTCTCTGTAACTGTTGCTGGTGACATTTCATGCTCCAAGGGTTATAGTGTTTAAGCTGGGAACTTATATTCCCCTTCTTCTCTACAGTATAGTACAAGACTTCAGATTTCTTTAGCCACTCAAATTCTTCTTCTAACTTATGGCTATAAAGAGATAAAGACCAATAAGTCAGTATGTCTTATCAGAATTCAGAAGGCCGGGTGCGGTGGCTCACGCCGGTAATCCCAGCACTTTGGGAGGCCGAGATGGGCAGATCACTTGAGGTCAGGAGTTGGAGACCAGCCTGGCCAACAGGGTGAAACCCTGTCTCTACTAAAAATACAAAAATTAGCCGGGCATGGTGGTGTGCTCGGGAGGCTGAGGCAGGAGAATCACTTGAACCCGGGAGGCAGAGGTTGCAGTGAGCCAAGAAGATCATGCCACTACACTCCAACCTGGGCAACAGAGCAAGCAAGACTCCAAAATAAAAAAAGTTAAAATAAATAAATAAATAAATAAATAAATAAATAAATAAATAATCCAGGGTTAAAGTAAAAAGAATCTTTCTTTCTTTTTTCTTTTTTTTGAGATGGAGTTTCGCTCTTATTGCCCAGGCTGGAGTGCAATGGCGCGATCTCGGCTCATTGCAACCTACGCCTCCGGGTTCTAGCGATTTTCCTGTCTCAGCCTCCCAAGTAGCTGGGACTACAGATGCATGCTACCACACCTGGCTAATTTTTGTATTTTTAGTAGAGACGGGGTTTTATCATATTGGTCAGGCTGGTCTCGAACTCCTGACCTCAGGTGATCCGCCCACCTTGGCGTCCCGAAGTGCTGGGATTACAGGCATGAGCCACCGCACCCGGCCAGAAACGTTCTAGAGTAATGAAAAGTGACTTCTTGATGTGGTGGTAGCTTACCGTGTACATGTTTGCCAAAACTCTTTGAACACTTCAAATGGGTACATTTTACCACATGTGTACCTCAAGAAAGTTGATTTTAGAAAATAACATAAGGGACCAGCCATCCACTACTTTCTACAGCAAAAAGAACTTAAGATCCCTGATCAACCCCTGCTCCCCAGCCCCGTATGTGGAGAGCCTTCACTGCCCTCTTCTAGGCAGTGGTACCACCTAGCCTCCAGTACAACCAGGTTCCCCTGACTCCAAAAGCTGGCAACTGGGAAAATAGGAACTGAAATTCCATGAGACTAAGTCAACCTACTTAGCTACATTACATGTACTTTACTTTATATATATACTATTTATATTTTCACAAGCTTTGCCAAGGTGCAGGAGTAGGATGGCCCTGCTTAAGGAGATCACTGAGTTTCAGGGATGCCCAGTTGCCCCTTTTGTCCCCCACCACTGGTGAACAACCTGAGGTAAAAGGATAGCTCCTCTCTTGGTCACTGCTACATCTCCAGAACACAGCCTGGCACAGAGCAGTCACACCCAAACTGGCGGGATCTAACCAGAGTCAACTAAAGAGGCTGAGCATGCCATGTAGGAATTGGCCACTGAATGACAGGTACCTACTAAATCCACTTGAGTCCTTAGCTCCAGGGAACTGGGCTATAACCAAAACCGCCAACACTTCCCCTCCCACATAGCCCAGAGCTGTCCTCTGTCTACACTCACCTCTTCATTTTCTCCTCTTTACGGTGCTGACGCACCCAGTCCTTAGGGGTCTTTTCTGTTTCTAAGACATGATGTTTTTTGTTTGTTGTCCACCTTAGGAGCTTACTTTTTGGTTCACAGTCTGAATTATCTACAATGTCCACAATTCCATGGTCCCCTTTTAATGGATATGCTATTAGACACAAGTTCCTGTCTTCATCTTCTTCAAAGCGCACAGATACCACACCTGGAAGGGGGTGAGGAGCAGAAAGAACTTTTAATTCCACAGGAAGAAGCACTGTAAGTAACATGATTGTAACATTTGTTTTTTTCTTACCCAGTTCCTTAGTCTCTATGTTGCCAGAGGCCCCAAACTCATCTGCAAACTTAACAAATATCAAAACAGCTAGAAAAGATGACACCATACAAGACAAGCAATTAGGGAGCAAACATGGCCGAGAGTCTTCTTCTCTTATGTACTCAACGAGGCAAGAACCAAAGAATTACAAGACACATTTTTCCATCATTGAAAATGTTTATTAATTTTTATGTAATTCTTCTAATCCTAAAAGACTGAAAACATTGCTCTTTATAGTTTGTGGGAATTTTTAATGCCCTAAACAGAAACTCCAATAGCCTCATGGCTTGCTTTAAAGCAGAGCCTGAATACAGGGGGAACATAGGTTTGCCTGAGGGTTAAGAAGCATCCAAGAATAAGGGAAGATTGGGTAAGCAAAACAAAATAAAGGGGCAAACAAAACAAACCACACAGCACAAGACACCCTAGCAAAGGCTTCCCACAGTGCCCCCACACGGGTAGGCACCCAGGCCTTTTGTTCTTTTAAAATATGTTTTTATTGGTCTTTGCAGTCTCACGTCACAAAATAACAAAATGAACACAAGGCAGATAGAGTTGGCTGGGGAGCACAGACATGTGGTGGCCTTGAAAGCAGCGTTCCCCCTTAAGTCTCTAGAGCCTGCCATGAGTAATTAGACAGTCTTTGAGGATGGGGCTGTCAGGTGGGGGCGTTTCAGCAGGTGCCGACGAGCGCCTTACAAACGACTGGCTGAACACCTTTCCTCCCAGGCCTCTCTGCCCCAGCATCACTCAATCTGCTCAGTCCTTGCTGCCCGCCCGCTCGACTGCTGCAGGGGAATGCGTGCTCAGAGAGAGACGACACTTCTGAGGTGGCTCCCAGCTCTGGGTGCAGAGGAGCCGGGGTGGGGGATTCAGGCCACACTTCCCTGTGGCCACAGGGGAAAGGACCAGGGGGGAAAAAATGGGGCAGGGACGGACAGCTAACAAGGGGCCTTTGGCTTTGTCCTGGAAAAAAACAACAGAGAAGGACCAAGTGAGGGCCCCCAACTCCCCCATCCCCACCGCAATACACATGCATATTCAGAGTACAGAGAAAGGTACCCAGTACGTTCTGTCCTTAAAGACAATGTTTCAAGAGTCCCAAAAGAACCTAAGTTGTTCTAGAGTCCTTTATGTAACCAGGTAATGCACATTTAAAATTAATTTATTTAATGGATTCTTCTTAGATTTACAAAAGTCTCCCCCACTCCCCAACAAAGACCCCACCATGCTGGTGGCTGCTGATGTCCCCTATAAAATACATTATAAAAAGAAATTAGAAATTATCATATGTGAATCGAAGGGTTGCTTTCACATAGCAATTTTGGGGACATTCTGTAACAGCAAAGGGCTTGGGCTAATCAGCACAGGCCTCCCACTCCTGCATTCCATCTGACTCAACCCTGCTCCCCCGGCCTACCTAATCACCCGGGCTTCTGGTTTCCTGGAGGACAAAAAGCAGGCGGCAAGTATTCTGGGTTAAAATCCTCCCAAAGTCTTCTCCCACTGTCCCCTCAATGGGAGACTATGGGTTACTGTGATCAAGAGACACCTGAACATAAAACACAACTACACTTCTACCAAAATCAAACTCAAATCCACAAAACAAAACAGAATTGAGCAATCTTACCAGGGCTTGAAAACTGAGGGTGTGAGATGCTGGGCTGAGGGCCAGGAGGAGGAGAAGGAGGAGAGGGAGGGAAAGCACAGAGTGGGAGGGAGTGAGGGCTCCAGGGATGGCTGCCAGGGCCTTCCATGGCCACGATCCCTCACATCTCCTCACCAGTGTGGCAACCCCTCCAGCAGCTGGGACTTACCTTTGTACTGGGGAGTGAATTTGCGCATCTCAGCAGGGAGGGTCTCGTAGAACTGATGTTCCCTTGGGACCAGGGGCTTGCACAGGGTTGTCTCATTGAAGCGGAGCACACATGAGTGCCCCCCGACCTGGTGGACAAAGGGCTCCAGCAGGACGCCTTTGGCGCGGGGCTCCACATCCATGGCCCTGAAGGCTGGGCTCATCCTCCGGGCGCAGATGGCGGGGAGATAGAGGCAGCGGAGTCCAGCGGCCAGTACGTCTTCCGTCTGTTGTCTGTGTGTCCCTCTCGTTGTGGCTCCTTGGCTTGTTCTGGCCAGGATGCTCTGCTAGAAGCAAACACAATGATGACATGGGGGTTCAAAGTAGCGTGGGAAATGCCTTACAGCTGCTCACCCTGCTCCTCCAGCATAAAGACAAAGACAAACAGTCTGAGCTCTTGCGGGACTCCGCCCATGCCACCCACCTTGGCCCCTCCTTCTCCGGCAGAAAAACAAAAACACTATGAGCTCATGGGGCGGAGTTAGATGCAGACAGGCAGGGAATGGGTTCCAGGGGCCCTAAAAAGGCAGAGGTCCCACTACGGTGTTAGAAAGCCACTACCACAGGCAAAACTGATGCCATGGTGAGGTGAAATCACAATTTCATGCCTAATATTTGGATTAAATCTTACCATTTTCTAATAAGAGTGTCAAGCTTTAAGTGGATGATGCCCAAGTCTCCCATTAATTTTATACACACACACACACACACGTATATAAATTTTTTTTTTTGAGATGGAGTCTTACTCTGTCGTCAGGCGGGAGTGCAGTGGCACAATCTCGGCTCACTGCAACCTCCGCCTCTAGGGTTCAAGCCATTCTCCTGCCTCAGTCTCCTGACTAGGTGGGATCACAAGCATGCACCACCACGCCCAGCTAATTTTTGTATTTTTAGTAGAGACGCGGTTTCACCACATTGGCTGGCATGATCTCGATCTCTTGACCTCATGATCTGCCCGACTCGGTCTCCCAAAGTGCTGGGATTACAGGCGTGAGCGACCGCACCCAGCCCCATTAATTATATTTTTATAAAATGCATTTAAATACAGGGAAAACCTGCTTACTCATTATCTGGTAAGACTCATTATTTACTTGTCCAGTTTGTCTATGCACACTGTTCCTGCCCAAGGCCAAAGACAAGCCCCATTAACCTTATTAGCAATGGAGCTTGGGTCCAGTTTTAATGATTAACAACTTAAAACAACTGATCAAAGCTGGTTAACTCCATTTAAAAAGATACACAGTGTTCTAGGTCACTATTTTTATCAGTTCTATCCTGATCACCAAAAGCTGGTACACACCTTTAAACCAAAGTTATGCTTTTGGGGCAATCAGGGCTCGCATCCACTCACTCAGACACGCACTGGATGCCGCATCAACGAAGCACACCTCTGTATGCACCTTGTTAACCGGTTCAGGTCATGTCACACTCGTTCTCTGTTTTGTCTAATTTACAAGTTACGCAGTCTCTACTAGCATTCTTTATAGGGCTTGAGTTACATTTCAGTATCTGTACAGAGATTTTACTGGGAACTCCTTCAGTTCCCATGACTACAACTGAGAGAGGAGTGAGGATGGATCTGGAGATGTGCCCTCTGACCTCTAATATGGGGAAAGCACCTATTATGTATCAGGCTCATGACAGCAATTTCTTATGTCATTTGGTCCTCATGACACTTTCTTTGAGGTAGACACTACTCTCCCTATTGCAAACAATGAAGCTGATTAGAGATGGTTAGGAAACTCACCCAGGGCCAGAGACAATAAGCCACTTCTCCCAAGTGAATCCCACACAGCTGCCTCTAGGGCACATGATCTCTGGCACTGCCCAGCTTAATTTCTCCTTTCTTTTTCTTTTGAGATGGACTCTTGCTCTGTCACCCAGGCTGGAGTGCAGTGGTGAGATCTCGGCTCACTGCAAGGTCCGCCTCCCGGGTTCACGCCATTCTCCTGCCTCAGTCTCCTGAGTAGCTGGGACTACAAGTGCCCGCCACCATGCCCGGCTAATTTTTTTGTATTTTTAGTAGAGACAGGGTTTCACTGTGTTAGCCAGGATGGTCTTGATCTCCTGATTACGTGTTCCGCCAACCTCGGCCTCCCAAAGTGCTGGGATTACAGGTGTGAGCCACCGCACCCAGCCCAGAACAGTTTTAAAATAAAACTATAAATATAAAACTGTGTATCTGTAATGAGGCCGCGCGCGGTGGCTCACGCCTGTAATCCCAGCACTTTGGGAGGCCGAGGTGGGTGGATCACGAGGTCAGGAGATCAAGACCATCCTGGATAACACAGTGAAACCCCATCTCTACTAAAAATACAAAAAAAAAAAAAATTAGCCAGGCATGGTGGCTGGTACCTGTAGTCCCAGCTATTCAGGAGGCTCAGGCAGGAGAATGGCATAAACCCGGGAGGCGGAGCTTGCTGTGAGCCAAGATTGTGCCACTGCACTCCAGCCTGGTAGACAGAGCTAGACTCTGTCTCAAAAAAAACAAAACAACAACAAAAAATCTCTTGCTAACCATGGAGATGAGAAAATAAATATAAAAATATTTTTTAAAATAAAAACTATCGGCTGGGCGCAGTGGCTCATGCCTGTAATCCCAGTACCTTGGGAGGCCGAGGCGGGCAGATCACCTAAGGCCAGGAGTTCAAAACCAGCCTGGCCAACATGGTGAAGCCCCATCTCAACTAAAAATAACAAAAATTAGCCGGGCATGGTAGCACACGCCTGTAATCCCAGCTACTTGGGAGGCTGAGGTAGGAGAATTCCTTGAACCCAGGAGGCGGAGGTTGCAGTGAGCCGAGATCGCGCCACTGCACTCCAGCCTGGCAAAAGAGCGAGACTCCGTCTCAAAAAAAAAAAGAAAAGAAAAAAACAATAAAAAACTAAAAACCATTTTTAGTAAAATAAAGCCAGGAAGGAAACAATCAATGTCTGACTCTGAAAGGAGTCTTGTAGGGAACACCAAATTGACCTGTCTGGGTACATGGCATCAAACTACCATCAACCTCAGGAAAACTCCATAAAAATCAAGTCCACTGCTCCATAAAATCAGGACATCTATCATCCTTGATGATGAACACATTTGCCTCCACATCCAGCAACAGGAGAGGAATGAAACAAAAATATTTTTTTCATACAATTGTGTGACGGACTATTAGGATACCACAAAGAGCTTTCTTATCAATTTTATATTTTTTAACCAGGAGAAAATGCTTATGATATACTTTTTTTTTTTTTTTGAGACAGGGTCTCCATTGTTAAGGCTGCAGTACAAGTGGTGTAATCTCAGCTCACCGCAGCCTTGTCCACCAAGGCTCAAGTGATCCTCCCACCTCAGCTTCCCAAGTAGCTGGGACAACTACAGGAACACACCACCACATCCAGCTAATTTTTGTATTTCTGTGTAGAGATGGGGTTTTGCCACGTTGCGCAGGCTGGTCCTAAACTCTTGAGCTCAAGTGATCCTCCTGCCTTGGCCTAACCAAAGTGCTGGGATTACAGGCGTGTGCCACCGAACCGGGCCGTTTATGATACACTTTTCTTTTTTTTCTGGGACAGAGTCTTGCTCTGTTGCCCAAGCTAGAGTGCATGATCTCACCTCACGGCAACCTCTGCCTCCCAGGTTCAAGCGGTTCTCCTGCCTCAGCCTCCCGAGTAGCTGGGTCTACAGGCGTTTGCCACCACGCCCGGCTAATGTTTTGTATTTTTTTTAGTAGAGACGGGGTTTCACCGTGTTAGCCAGGTCTCGATCTCCTGACCTCGTGATCTGCCCACCTCAGCCTCCCAAAGTGCTGGGATTACAGGCGTGAGCCACTGCGCCCAGCCTAACTTGCATTTTTTAGTAGAGACTGGGTTCAGCGTGTTGGTCAAGATGGTCTCAAACTACTAGCCTCAAGTAATCTGCCTGCTGCAGCCTCCCAAAGTACTGGGATTACAGG